CTTCCAAGGTTATTATAACTGATAAACATATGGTGACTCTAAAATCTCTCTCTCCAAAATAAAGCATACAAACAAACTGTTGCCTAGAAGAACCTTTCTGGTTAAACATATATGTTTAGTAATAAATGCCATCCCGTAGCATTCAAAGTGTTTAGTGACATGAATTATTGTGCTCAGACCATTTTCAGCTGACATGCTCTTTCTTTATAAGTGATGCCCACTCCCTTCCTCAGAACAGGCACCAGCATACAGCTTCACTTCTGTTTCCCCTTGGTCCTGATTTTATCCGTGTGGCTTCAAGCTAAGTACTAAGCTATAGATAATTGACATTAATAGGCACAGCAAATTTGTTAGTGATTTTTTTTTTGCCTTGTGCTTAAGCACCATTAACATTTACTGTAAATCAATACAATAAGTTAGCAATGAGGAAAATGTTGGTATTCCGCTGATTGCATAGAAAAAAATTATTTTATTCTCCCCCTTCCTGCTGCTCTCTGTATACTCAAACATTGGAGACCCAATGTCTCCATGTGAACTGAGGGATCTGGCGCGTTAGAAGTGTTGCAGATCCTGACAACCTGGACAGGAGGTGTGCATGTTTCTAAGTAGTCACCACAGGTGACGCGGTCCTGCCTGTTATTGTTTTACATGTTTTTTATTATAAGGGAATCTTTCCAATATTGGTCTTCAGATAAAGATTCACTCCTGAGTATGTATCCAAAGAAAATAGTAATACAAATAGAAAAGATATATGCACCCTCATATTCACTGCATCATTATTTACAATAGCCAAGATATGGAAGCAACCTAAGTGCACATTAATAGATGAAAGGATAAAGATGTGTGTGTAATGGAAAGTTAGCCAAAAAAGAAATGAAGTCTTACCATTTTCGACAACATGGATGAACCTAAAGGGTGTTACACTTAGTGAAATAAGTCAGACAGAGAAAGACAAACACTACGTGATTTCCACTTAATGTGTGGAATCTAAAAAACAAAACATGCTCAAACATAACAAAACAGAAGCAGATTTATAGATACAGAGAACAGGAGAACCATCAGGTGATTGCCAGAGGGAAGGAGGGTGGGAGGAGGAGAGAACTAAATGAGGGAGATTAAGAGGTTGCAAAAAAAAAAATGAGTGACAGGTATGAAATGTACAGTGTGGGGAATATAGTCAATAACTATGTAATATCTTTATATGATAATACCATGACTAGACTTATCATGGTGATCATTTTGAAACGTGTAGAAATATCAAATTACTTTGTTGTACAATGGGAGCTAATATAGTGCTGTAGGTCACTTACACTTCAAAAATGAACAAACAGATTCATAGAAAAAAGCAATCAGATTTGTGATTACTGGGGGTGAGAGAGGAATTGGATGAAGACATTCAGAGGGTACAAATTTCCAGTTATAAAATAAATAAATACTAGGGACATAATGTAAAATATGATAAACATACTATATGTTATATATGAAAGTTAAGGAAATAAACCCTAAAGTTGTCATCACTAGGAAAAATAAAAAAGATAAAAGACCCAAGTCTATAATCTGACCCGTAGGACCCAGCACTGAGGGTCTCTGGCTACTTTTCCATCTCATCCTACAAATTTCATATTCTCTCCTGCCATATTCCAATTTCAAGTCATATTTCATCATTTCACATGTGCTGTGCTCCTTGCTTTTGAAGAATCTTGGTACATGCTCTTTCATCTCTATTTTTTAACAGTTTTATTGAAATATAATTCACATAGCATAGCATTCATTCATGTAAAATGTACTGTCGAATGACTTGTAATGTTTAACAGCATAAGGCTCCATCACCACAGTCAATTCTAAAGTGTTTTTATTACCCCCAAAGGAAATCCTGTACCACTTAGCCATCATAACCAGTTCTCACCAGCTAGCCCTTGGTGAACACTAGCCTGCTTTTTATTGCCATAAATTTGCCTATTCTGATCACTCCGTTTACATGGAATCATGCAATCTATGGTCTTTTGCAACGGGCTTGTTTCACTTAGCATAATGTTTTCAAGGATCATCCATGTTGTAACATGTATCAGTACTTATTCCTTCTTATTGATAAATAATATTCCACCCTATGAGTATATACCACATTTTATTTATCCATTCATCAGCTGAAGATGTTTGATTGTTTCCACTTTGGGGCTATTATGAATAATGCTGATATGAACATTCTAGTACCAGTTTAGTACAGACAAATGTTACCATTTCTCTTGGATATGTAATATGTAGGAGTGGAATTGCTGGACCATGCCATAGCTCTATGTTTACCACTTGAAGAACTGCAAGACTATTTTCCAAATTATGGAATTTCCTATTCTAATCCTATCTTGTTATTCCAGTCTAATCTTGCTAACTCATTCCAATTTTATAATCATTTTGATTATAACCATTCTACTGGGTCTGAAGTCATATTTCATTGCGCTTTTTTCTCCACTTTTGGTCTAGACAGTTTTCTACTCACTTTTCAAGTTGCAGCTTAAATAATCACTTCTACAAGGAATCTTACCTTGACCACCTCATCCCCAAACTAGTCTTGGGCTCCTCTCAGAAAAGTCATTTTTTCCCTCTAAACTCAAAGTTCAGCATGCGCAGAGCCCAGCCCATATATCTTTGTTCCCTACTTTATCCCCAGAATCTAGACACTGTGTGAACTACAAAGCTTCTTGTTAAAAATGAGTTGAATGAATGATCCATTACATAACAGTGAGAAAAAAAAAAGGGGGGGGAGCTCATTATCTGAAAATCACCTCTACCAGAATAATTGGCATGATTACCTTTTAAACTTAATTCCTTTTTCAGCATTCCCACAGACTCAACTTCTGAGAAATATTTTAGTTATGTCTGGCAAGGGAAAGAAAGAGTCTCTACAGTATAACCATGATGAATGCTTCTATTTCCCTGAGTTTTACTGCAGCTGTACACTTTTCTGGTTTATAAGAAACAGGAGGAGGCTCAGTATAAATAAGCAAAATCAAGTGGACAATGTAAACATTTATTTATTTATTTTTTAAGTCAAAACAGTAAATGAAGAAGAATAGATTTCTGAGACATAAGGGGGACTGGCGTTTCCTGTTTTGGTTGTCAACTAGGCTACGCTTATAACAGTTTCAATTCAGTAGCTCTGGGACAGACCCCAGATTAAACATTTTTAGCAGGACTTATAGTTATGCTAGTTGTCCATGGGCTCCACTTTTTTAAAAATTCATCCTAGTTAATATTTTCAGTAATCAACAGAAGCAAATTAACATAACAGTTTAAAATTTTCTGGCCCTATTTACTAGCGTTGTGGTTTAGCACAAATCATTTAATCTTTTTTAAGCCTGTATGTTCATGTATAAAGGGGGAATGGACAATTAAGTGCCTACATCATAAGGCTTTTTGTGAGCATCAGATGAAATAATACATATAAAACATAGTATCTGGCACATAAATGCTTGGGTATGTTATTTGTATTGGTATTACTCTTTTATTATTTTTGTGTTATCTAGGGGAATGTACACAACAAATCTGTTTAAAGGAATTAGCTTTTTCTTAGTAAGAGAAATATTCCTTAAGCTTAAGTTGGGAGTTTATCAGGTTCATCAATGGTTTTATTATCATTGTTACTTTTGTAGGCGATTTTTCCAGATGATCCTTTGCTGATGTTGCTTACTCTTGTTCATTTCTATTTCCAAGTTCCTTCCAATACTCGAGAAATGATGGAGGCATTTCTGAAGAAACCTAATTTTGGCTCCTATACTACTATCCTCCCAAATCTTATCTTTCTCTATTAAGTAATAGAGAAAGGGGAGGAGAAGGGGGCGACAGGGGATGAGATGGTTGAATGGCATCGCCAACTCAGTGGACATGAGTTAGAGCAAACTCTGGGAGATAGTGAAGGATGGGGAAGCCTGGCATGCTGCAGGCCATGGAGTTGCAAAACGTCAGACATGACTTAGAGACTGAACAACAACAACAATAAGTCGTTATAACCCCGAATGCTATCCTGATAGATCTTATTCTCTAAAATAGAAATCCTCAAAGTTCAGTCAAACTAGGGTCTATTCAGTCATCTTACAGAATCAAGAATGTTCGTTTACTTATCCAAGTCCTGTTTACTGACTATCTAACCAGCATCAGGGATTTGTGATTTACAGAGAAGAAAATCAAGATCCAAAATCCAGGGGAGATGGAAAAAAACAAAAACAAACAAGATAATACATCACCAAGGCAATGTAGCTGGTATTGAGTGATATGAATGACATTGAACAGGTTGATGTCATAGAAATGTCTAAGGGAAAGGAGATATTTTAGATTAATAGTCAGGAAAAGACTCTCCCAGCAGATGACGTTTTGAGTTGTCACTTGAGTGCTGCAAAAGAACCAGCCATGGGCAATGTCAGGGAACAGAGTGATTGAGGAAAAGAGAAGAGTCAGTGAAAAGACCCTAAACCAGGCCCTGATGGGTCATGTTTAGGAGTTAGGGTTTGAGTGCAAGTATGATGAGGAAGCACTGGAGAATTTCGGGGAGAGGATGTCATAATCTAATCCGTCATCGATTTCAGGTTCACTTTCCCCTTCCCTTCTCCCTGTCTTTAATGTAATTAGCTACTGTGAAGCCCAGTGGAATGATATTTAATTGTAGTATCCACTGCCACATTGCAACTGTAACCTCTGCAAGTTCTCAGTGTCACAGAGGCTTGCCATTGTAAGGTCCCAAATCAAAGCTTTAAGATTTCTTGATATGAACCATTTTTAAAGCCTTTATTGAATTTGTTAAAATATTACTTCTGTTTTATGTTTTGGTTTTCTTGGCCCCGAAGCATGTGGGATCTTAACTCCCCAACCAGGGATCAACCCCCTGCATTGGATGCTGACGTCCTAACCCCCGTACCACCAGGAAAGTCCTCAAGCTCACTTACTGGCATTCTTGCTTTCTCTCCTTGGCATGTTAATGATTCCCCTCTCTGCTATCTCTGATACTTTAGGTTGCACCAGGTGACCTTCGAGGTGCCCACCTGCGAGGGGAAGGAGCGACAGAAGGTGTCCTTGATTGGGGACTCCTCGTCCTCGGCAGAGTTCTTCGTCACCGTCGCCGTCTTCGCCTTCCTCTACTCCTTGGCCGCCACTGTCGTTTACATTTTCTTCCAGAACAAGTATCGAGAGAACAACCGGGGTCCACTCATTGTAAGTGGTTTGCTTTATGAAATAATTTTTTCTGTCGTTTCTAATTTTTTTCTTCCAATGCTTCAAGGGCTTACCCGAGTCCTCAGGGCAGGTATTTGAAAAGCAATCACGTTCTTTTTCATCCAGATCCCTTAGATCTAAAACGGAAGCATGATGCCTGTCATTCTTTTGTGCCCCTGTACTGGAGAAGTATCATTAGAGTTGCTAGAAACTCTTCTGAAATAGATGGTTGGAAATCTCATGAGGTCATGGAAAGAGTAGTGAGGCTTGCTGCAGGTTTATTGGTAACTCCAGTATTATGGAGTTAATCGACCATTTTTTTCTCACTGGTTGTTTAGACAGCGTGACTTGTACTTACTTGAAATGTGTTGTTCCTCTAGTATATGATAGACTGGTCATAGAGTGGTTTAGTTTGAAGATGTAGCTCTCCATCTCTGAATTTCAATCTCTCTCTCCCTCCCCCATCTTGTCTCTTTCCACCACCAACCCTGCTGACTCAGATGGTAAAGAATCTTCCTGCTATGCAGGAAACACCCTGGTTTGATTCCTGGGTCAGAAAGATCGCCTGGGGGAGGGCATGGTAATGCAGTCCAGTATTCTTGCCTGAAGAATCCCATAGACAGAGGAGCCTGGCAGACTACAGTCCATGGGTTCGCAAAGAGTTTGACATGACTAAAATAACCTAGCGTGCACATACCACCAAACCACCCTACTTCCTGTTTCCTTACACAGTAGTTCAAGGACTCACCTGGGTGAAACCAAGCTAGTGGGTAAGAGACACATAGACACCTCGGGGGATGCCGCAACTCCTGGAGGGGTACATGTTGTAGATAACTTTAAAGAAATGTATTTCTCAGCCTTCACATGTACATTTGCCTAAAATTTATCTTACTGAGAATGGCCTGCTTCTGAAAATATCTTTCTTAATCACCTACTCCCCTTTTATAAAAGGAAAGTATGCTTCTTTTCAGCTCAGTTCCGTTCAGTTCAGTCACTCAGTTGCATCCAACTCTTTACGACCCCATGGACTGCAGCACACGCCAGGACTCCCTGTCCATCACCAACTCCCAGAGTTTACTCAAACTTATGCCCATTGAGTCAGTGATGCCATCCAACCACCTCATCCTCTGTCATCCCCTTCTCCTACCACCTTCCCATCTTATGCAGCATCAGGGTCTTTTCAAAGGAGTCAGCTCTTCACATCAGGTGGCCAAATTATTGGAGTTTCAGCTTCAACATCAGTCCTTCCAATGAATATTCAGGACTGATCTCCTTTAGGATGGACTGGCTGGATCTCCTTGCAGTCCAACAGACTCTCAAGAGTCTTCTCCAACACCACAGTTCAAAAGCATCAATTCTTCGGCCCTCAGCTTTCTTTATAGTCCAACTCTCACATCCATACATGACCACTGGAAAAACCATAGCCTTGACTAGACGGACTTTTGTTGGCAAAGTAATGTCTCTGCTTTTTAATATGCTGTCTAATTTGGTCATAACTTTCCTTCCAAGGAGTAACCGTCTTTTAATTTCATGGCTCCAATCACCATCTGCAGTGATTTTGCAACCCCAAAAGATAAAGTCTGCCACTGTTTTCACTGTTTCCCCATCTGTTTGCCTTGAAGTGATGGGACCGGATGCCATGATCTTAGTTTTCTGAATGTTGAGCTTTAAGCCAACTTTTTCACTCTCCTCTTTCACTTTCATCAAGAGGCTCTTTAGTTCTTCTTCACTTTGTGCCATAAGGGTAGTGTCATCTGCATATCTGAGGTTATTGATATTTCTCCCGGCAATCTTGATTCCAGCTTGTGCTTCTTCCAGCCCAGCGTTTCTCATGATGTACTCTGCATAGAAGTTAAATAAGCAGGGTGACAATATACAGCCTTGACATACTCCTCTCCCAATTTGGAACCAGTCTGTTGTTCCATGTCCAGTTCTAACTGTCGCTTCCTGACCTGCATACAGGTTTCTCAAGAGGCAGGTCAGGTGGTCTGGTATTCCCATCTCTTTCAGAATTTTCCACAGTTTGTTGTGATCCACACAGTCAAAGGCTTTGGTGTAGTCAATAAAGCAGAAATAGATGTTTTTCTGGAACTCTCGCATTTTCGATGATCCAGCAGATGTTGGCAATTTGATCTCTGGTTCCTCTGCCTTTTCTAAAACCACCTTGAACATCTGAAGTTCATGGTTCACGTATTGCTGAACCCTGGCTTGGAGAATTTTAAGCATCAGTTTACTAGTGTGTGACATGAGTGCAATTGTGCAAAAGTTTGAGCATTCTTTGGCATTGCCTTTCTTAGGGATTGGAATGAAAACTGACCTTTTCCAGTCCTGTGGGCACTGCTGAGTTTTCCATATTTGCTGGCATATTGAGTCCAGTACTTTCATAGCATCATCTTTTTAGGATTTGAAATAGCTCAATTGGAATTCCATCACCTCCACTAGCTTTGTTCGTAGTGATGCTTCCTAAGGCCCACTTAACTTCACATTCCAGGATGTCTGGCTCTAGGTGAGTGATCACACCATCGTGACTATATGGGTTGTGAGAATCTTTTTGTACAGTTTTTCTATGTATTCTTGTCACCTCTTCTTAATATCTTCTGCCTCTGTTAGGTCCCTACCATTTCTGTCCTTTATTGAGCCTATCTTTACATGAAATGTTCCCTTGGTATCTCTAATTTTCTTGACACAATCTCTAGTCCTATTCTGTTGTTTTCCCATTCTATTGTTTTCCTCTATTTCTTTGCACTGATCACTGAGGAAGGCTTTATCTCTCCTTGCTATTCTTTGGAACTCTGAATTCAAATGGGTGTATCTTTCCTTTTCTCCTTTGCTTTTCGCTTCCCATCTTTTCACAGCTATTTGTAAGGCCTCCTCAGACAGGAGGAGGCCTTTGCTTTTTTGCATTTCTTTTTCTAGGTGATGGTCTTGCTCCCTGTCTCCTGTACAATGTCACGAACCTCTGTCCATAGTTCATCAGGCATAGTTCATAGTTCATATAGAGCTTCTCCATCTTTGGCTGCAAAGAATATATTCAGTCTGACTTCGGTGTCGACCATCTGGTGATGTCCATGTGTAGAGTCTTCTGTTGTGTTGTTGGAAGAGGGTGTTTGCTGTGACCAGTGCAGTCTCTTCACAAAACTCTTAGCCTTTGCCCTGCTTCATTCTGTACTCCAAGGCCAAATTTGCCTGTTACTCCAGGTGTTTCTTGACTTCCTACCTTTGCATTCCAGTACCCTATAATGAAGAGGACATCTTTTTTGGGTGTTAGTTCTAGAAGGTCTTGTAGGTCTTCACAGAACTGTTCGACTTCAGTTTCTTCAGCATTACTGTTCGGGGCATAGACTTGAATTACTGTGATACTGAATACTCTGCCTTGGAAATGAACAGAGATCATTCTGTTATTTTTGAGACTGCATCCAAGTACTGCATTTCAGACTCTTTTGCTGACAATGATGGCTACTCCATTTCTTCTAAAGGCCCACAGTAGTAGATATAATGGTCATCTGAGTTAAATTCACCCATTCCAGTCCATTTTAGTTCACTGATTCCTAAAATGTTGACGTTCACTGTTGCCATCTCCTGTTTGACCACTTCCAACTTGCCTTGATTCACGGAGCTAACATTCCAGGTTCCTATGTAAAATTGCTCTTTACAGCATCAGACATTGCTTCCATCACCAGTCCCATCCACAACTGGGTGTTGTTTTTGCTTTGGCTCCATCCCTTCATTCTTTCTGGAGTTATTTCTCCACTGATCTCCAGTAGCATATCGGCACCTACTGACCTGGGGAGTTCATCTTTCAGTGTCCTATCTTTTTGCCTTTTCATACTGTTCATGGGGTTCTCAAGAATACTGAAGTGGTTTGCCATTCCCTTCTCCAGTGGACCACATTTTGTCAGAACTCTCCACCATGACCTGTCTGTCTTGGGTGGCCCTCTGCAACATGGCTCATAGTTTCATTGAGTTAGACAAGGCTGTGGTCCATGTGATTAGATTAGTTAGTTTTCTGTGATTGTGGTTTTCATTCTGTCTGCCCTCTGATGGAGAAGGATGAGGCTTATGGAAGCTTCCTGATGGGAGAGACTGACTGAGGGGGAAGCTGGGTCTTGTTCTGATGGGCAGGGCCATGCTCAGTAAATCTTTAATCCAATTTTCTGTTAATGGTTGGAGCTGTGTTCCCTCCCTGCTATTTACTTGGGGCCAAACTATGGTGGAGGTAATGAAGATAATGCTGACCTCCCTCAAAAGACCGCATGCATGTACTGCTACACTCAGTGCCCCAACCCTGCAGCAGGCCACCACTGACCCACGTCTCTGCTGGAGACTCCTGGACACCCATAGGCAAGTCTGGGACAGTCTCCTGTGGGGTCACTGCTCCTTTCTCCTGGGTCCTGGTGCACAAGGTTCTGCTGTGCCCTCTAAGAGACTATTTCCCAGTCCTGTGTAAGTTCTGGCAGCTCTACAGTGGGGTTAATGGTGACTTCCTCCAAGAGGGCTTATGCCATACCCAAGACTGCTGCACCCTGAGCCCCTGCCCCTGCGGCAGGCCACCACCGACCTGTACCTCCACAGGAGACACTCAAACACAGTTCTGGCACAGTCTCTGTGGGGTCACTGGGTCCTGGTGCACACAAGGTTTGTTTGAGCCCTCTGAGCGTCTCTGGTGGGAATGGGGTTTGATTCTAAATGCAAATTTGCCCCTCCTACCATCTTGCTGGGGCTTCTCCTTTGCCTTTGGACGGTGGGGTTTCTCCATGTGGCCAGTCTAGTGAAGCGCAACCGCCACTCCTGACCCTGGACATGGGGTATCTCCTCATGGCCGCCACTCCTGACCCTGGACCTTTTACATCCCAAATTTTACGTCCTTCTTTTACATCCCAAATGTTTCTATGTGGTACATTGTTAGGTTGCAAAACATTAGAGGCACTGAAAAAAAAAATGGACAATTTGAAGTATTGATGTTGTACTGACAAAAGTGACCGATTCAAATGCCTAGGTTA